CCCCTTAGCCAGTGGATCCAAGCGTGGGAGAAGGGCATAGATGACATGACGTCACTACAAGACGATCGAGTGTAGGGAAAGAAAAGAAAAAGATTTTTTGGGTATGTGACCAAGCCGAAGGACACCTGAAACAGTTCACCCGCAACAGCGCGGGGGAACTGCAACAAAAAGGCATAAGAGAGTCTCACAGCTATGGGACTAGCTGTCTACTGAGAGGGGGGTAGTGTAACGATGTTACAACTTCGCCAAGTATTGAGCCAATCCCAGAGCCGGATCGGAGGAAGTACCTGCCGCCCTTCATCAGCCATTCGCCCGAGGTCGGATCCGAATTCGGACCCGACTAGGATAGGTATATATTGAGACACTCCCTGTAGCTAGCTCTGTAGACTTTTGATATCCTTTCGTACAAGGCCTATAGGTGGCTTGTTGAATCTAGGCTCTTTGTGATCCCACGCACTCCCATATGCCTCTGAGTGATCCTACGACCGAAACAGATCCGACCTGCCTTACCTGCGCCGTTACACTAGCCTTTACTAGGTACCAGGCCACCAAGATATCTCTAGGAACGAAAAAGCAGACGCCCTAGCTAAAGAAGCTACTAAGCTAGACCCTCCTTCTACTAGCAAAACTAGCCTAGCTATTACTAGCTCGCGAATTAAGCAGCTAGGAGAGAGAGAATGGCTAAGCCAACTTGAACAGTATAGGAAAAAAGCCACTAGCAAGAATCCACAAACGTACGCAGCAAAATACAAGTAGAAGATAAGAAAGCAAATCGCTATTCCTAGCAATACTAGAAGAGAGATTTCTAGCGCTTTCTACCAACTTAAACTAGGGCACTGTTACCTAAGGGACTACCTATATAAGAGAGGGAAAGTAGATTCTAATAGTTGCTCCTGCAACTATAGTTCTATACAAGACCTACCTCATATTCTATTTAGATGTAATCTATATAGAGAGGAAAGGAAAGGACTAAGAGAAGCCTGCGAAGGCGATCTATCACTACCTATCCTCTTTTAAACAAAAGAGGGTATAGAAGCAACTATTACCTTTATTCAAGAAACAAAGGCTGGAACACAAGCCTGGTACAAGGGAAACACAGAAAACGAGGAGTAATACCTGTAACAGGTAGCCATACACCTCTCCCACCCTATCCTACCCCCTACCTACCAACCAATAGGCTACGAGCCTCACCTTCATCTAGTTAAAACCCCTCCTAAATATCGTGGCTAGAAACAACCTACTTAGATACTTGTAGGCCTAAAAACCCTACACGTCTTATATAGCCCTTCGGGCTGAAAAAGGACCTTAAACTAGAATAATAATAATAATAATAATAAGATCTTCCCGTAGTACAACTTGAGGGTTTCCATTGTTGTTGTAGTCTGCGTATGATTTCGTCATACCGGGAGGCCAAAGTTGTGGTGTTGCTGGGTACCATTGTCTCGCGCATGGAGGCGGGGTAGGATGCGAGCAGCCAGATACATGGATGGAATGTTGTCTTGATGTAGCACAAGTAGTCATGAGCTACGCATCTCGTACAGCTATCCGCCGTCATTGCCCTCGATGCTCAGTTCCATGCCTGATCAGCTCACGTGTGCAGCTTTATTGATGTACAGTTGTCGTCATGGTACTGGTTTATTAGAGCTCCAGAAGGACCTTGTTAATTGCTGAAGATGGGTAGAAAGTTGAAGACTGCAATGGCTTTGGGTGTCAGGTGTGGTGAGGATCGCCTTGGGCGGAGAGCGCACCTCCTCGCTTATTGCTAGCGTGGGCTTGGCACCACCGCTCAGCAATCGAAAATCAACCTGGAATTTCAACTTCCTCTGACAAGCGCCAACTAACCCCACGACAACACAGATTGCACCGGAAGACCAGACACAGGTACGCTACAGAAGACGCCTCGCCTTCGAGGTATCGAGGCCGTTCAGCATTGCGACACCGACACGGCCCCGCCAATGTGCCTCTGCTGTATGCCTACGCCTACGGAAGATATTGTCGCACGCGAACACACCATTCGCTCCGAGACGAATACTTCTGCACTGGGCTGTACAATACACGGGACTGTCGCGGCGGCCAGGAGCAATGCTGCGGCCTTGGAGCATGCACAGCAAGAGCAAAAGCTAATTTGATTGTGGACAGCAGTCTTCTGAACAGCCGCAATCATGGGGTACCTATCTCTCTTCCTTTGCCCTCGCTGACTCCATCCGCTGACTGTTTGCAGTATCTCACGAGACTCTCGCCACAAGCGTTCCGCGTCCGGTGCGAAGCGCGCATACTACCGCAAGAAGAGGTATGCATAACCCGATCGCTTCTCTAGTCATGTCTAACATGGCTTCAGGGCTTTCGAGAAGGGTCGCCAGCCTGCCAACACCCGTATTGGCACTAAGCGTATCCATCTTGTCCGCACCCGTGGCGGCAACCGCAAGTTCCGTGCCCTCCGTCTGGAGTCCGGCAACTTCTCCTGGGGCTCCGAGGGCGTCGCCAAGAAGACTCGTGTCATTGGTGTCGTCTACCACCCCTCGAACAACGAGCTCGTCCGTACCAACACCCTGACCCGCTCCGCTATCGTCCAGATCGATGCCGCTCCCTTTAGGCAATGGTACGAGGCCCACTACGGCTCCTCGCTCGGCCGCAGGAGGCAGGCCAAGGCCGGTGAGAAGGAGGAGGACAAGAAGAAGTCCAACTCGGTCACCAAGAAGCAGGCTGAGCGCCTCAAGACCAGCGGAAAGATTGAGCACGCTGTCGAGAAGCAGTTCGAGGCCGGTCGTCTGTACGCCGCCGTCTCTTCCCGTCCCGGCCAGAGCGGTCGCTGCGACGGTTACGTCCTCGAGGGTGAGGAGCTTGCTTTCTACCAGCGTCTCCTCAGGAAGTAAAGGTGATATTTGGGGCTTCTTCGGTGCATCGGTCAGGTCAAAATGGGTGTTTAGTCATGTATCTGGTCTGCATAGTCGCGGGACACTGAATGCACTCGGCATGATAACGCCACTTCTCTAGATACCACGAGACTATGAATCATGGGTTTCAATGTTCATGTGAAGTGTTTTGTATTTGCGATTGCCCATGTTGACGTCGAGGTCGTAGTCGTTGGATTGTCGACCCCGTCTATTCGATGACATGTTTTGCTCATCGTTATCCAGACCACTAGAACATATTGTGCTAGTATATACGCTAGCCAGTTACCCATGGTTGCATCTTGCAGTGTACAATGTTTATGCAGCGCGTCAGTCCATTGTTAGTCGCGCACATATCTACGCACACACAGATATGCCTCTTTCACATGTCAAAACGCGAATAAATCTTCACACTGTACTGTGGCATACTACATCATATAACACAGCAAGCATCGCTGAATTTCTACTTGTACGTGAATTATAAACTAACAGTCAGTTCCTGTAGGTAACCGTCGTTTTTTTTTCGCATATTGAATATTCATTTGACGGTTCCTTGATTGGGAAAAGCGCATGCAGACTGCCAAGTATGTATGTATGTATGTATGTATGTATGTATGTATGTATGTTAGCGATGGAAGGACGAAGATCAAGGTAAAAGACATTGAAATATTTCATTCTGGTTATTCTTTTTCTCGACTTGAGACTGCTTTGCTTTCGCTTTAATTCGCTTTCATTCGATCTGATTTAATCTGATTTGATATACTTGCATCGACTAGATGGGATAGACAATTCGGCTTCATGGTATAAACAGCACCGTACCGTACAGTATGACCAAGACGGCGCCAAAGAAAAAAAAACGACTTTTTTCAGGTCATGACAAAGATGTCGTTACTACAACAAAAGTGGGGACAATTTCTCGGTACTATATTTATTGTTACAACTTCGAGGCGCCCTTTGGTGGGCCGACGTTTGTGATTTCGTTGTATAGAAGACTAGATCGGATAATATTAGTAAAACATACTTTTTTTGGTGTAAAGCCTGAATAACAGGCGGACGAAGAAGAAGAAGAAGAAAACTTACGAAGTCAAAAACTCGGCATAGTCTTCGCCAGTGACCTGGCTTTCAAAGTACTTTGCAGCGAGATGGTACTTGTTTCCCTTTGGCGCCTTGTCGCTGAGCGCCTTTGCCTGCTCGTGCAGCAGCTTGAGGGCATAGTCCTTTGTGACTTTGTTGCCCTCAGCAGTCTGGACGTTGTGCCTGGCCCATTGCCACAGCTGGCTTCGGGAGACTTCGGCGGTGGCCGCGTCTTCCATGAGGTAGTTGATGGGGACGCAGCCGACGCCGCGGATCCAGGCTTCCATGTAGGCAAGGCCGATGTCGAGGTTCTTGCGGATGCCGGCTTCGGTGACCTTTCCGGGGACGTTCATGTTGAGGAGGTCGTTGGCGGTGATGTTGACGTCTTCGCGGCGGATGTGCATTTGGTTGGGCGTGGGCATGTGCTCGTTGAAGATTTCGGCTGCAATCGAGGCGAGGGCCGGGTGAGCTACCCATGTGCCGTCGTGGCCGGCGCGCACCTCACGGAGCTTGTCGGCGCGGACCTTGGCCATGGCAGCGTCGTTGGCCTGCTGGTCGTTCTTGATGGGGATCTGGGCTGCCATGCCGCCCATGGCATGGACGCCACGCCTGTGGCATGTCTTGATGAGAAGCTTGACGTAGGCGTCCATGAAGGGCGAAGTCATGGTGACAGAGTCGCGGTCGGGAAGGACAAAGTTGGGGTTCTGGCGGAAACGCTTAATGGTGCTGAAAATGTAGTCCCAGCGGCCGCAGTTGAGACCAGACGAGTGGTCGCGAAGCTCGTAGATGATCTATGGATGTTAGTATCAATTTATACGCACAATTGACGGCTGACATACCTCGTCCATCTCAAAGGCAGCGGTAATGGTCTCAATCAAGACGGTTCCACGGATGGTTCCGCGGCTCATGCCAATGTAGTCCTGAGCCAGGTTGAAGACGTCGTTCCACAGCCTAGCCTCAAGATGCGACTCCATCTTGGGCAGGTAAAAGTATGGGCCTGCCCCGCGCTTGACGAGCTCATGGGCGTTGTGGAAGAAGTACAGTCCAAAGTCGAACAAGCCACCGGAGATGGGCTCGCCATCCACGGTAAAGTGCTTCTCCTCGAGGTGCCAGCCTCGAGCACGCGCAATCAGCGTGGGGAGCTTGCGGTCGGTGCGGAGCTTGTACTCCTTCTCGCCCTGCTTGAAGTCGACCTGCCTGCGAATGGCGTCGTACAGGTTGAGCTGGCCATTGATCATGTTGTCCCATGTTGGTGCGGATGAATCTGGCCCTATTAGTGATGACACGCACGTGTTTTGCATATTCCATACCCTCAAAGTCGGCCATGTAGGTCCAGACGTCAGAGTTCAAGGCGTTGACGACCATCTTGCGGTCAGTTGGGCCGGTAATCTCAATGCGCCTGTCGACGAGGCCCGGCGCAGGCGGAGCACCCTTCCACGCATCGTTCTCACGGATGTGCTTGGTCTCTGGCAGGAAGTCGAGCAGGTTTCCCTTGTCGAGCTCGGCCTGGCGAAGCACGCGTCGCTGGAGCAGGGCTTTTCTGCGCTCGTTGAATGTGCGGTGGAGAAGGGCCAGGAAGACACAGGCGTCCTTGCTGAGAATGTGGCGGTTCTGGTCATTGAGGTCGCCGAGGATGTTGACCTCTCGCAGGATCCGTTCGGGATTGACGGCCATTGTGCAGTTGGTATATATCAATGTGCAAAGGGGTGGGCAGGGGATCAAGGTACGAGACGAGACGAAGAGTGGTTCACAAAAGGCGAGTCGCCGCTGGACCGCACGTGGCCCTGCGACGCCACATCAGACGGGTACTGGGTGATGCGCGTGCAAAAAGGCACAGCTGAGACTGGCTTTTCATCGACGAATTTCAATCTCACGTTCACCCATGTGGCGGACACGTTGTACCGGGGGGAGCAGTACACGGCGAGTTTCCAGGCACAGGGCCACTTCGAGGTTGGAGGCAATATGCAGGGCACATGTGGGGGCAGCGGTGTTTGTAGCTGGGGACTCAAGCAGGAGAGTAGGCCGGTCAGGATTACACCGGTGAAGGCCTGAGTACGAGGCTGGTGGTGCGTGGTGTGGTGTGAGGACGTATGCCGAGGTTGGAGCTGGCTGCCGAGCGGCGTACTCCCTGGTACGTTGGGTTCCTAGGGCAATGGGAAAAACAGCAGTAGCGTTTCTAGTTGCTTGCTTGCAGCACATACGGAATAGGAATCCTGGGCTAGTTCATGCGCATAAGCGGCAGCAGGTCGAGGTAAAGCACACCTATGTGTACGTATCCATCATGGTGATGGCGCCGAGTCTGCCGCTCATGACGGCGGATTACGTTTGCCCAGCCATCAGCACCAAACTGCGGATACGCATACCGCCAGTCGTCAAGGCTTGCCAGCGCTCAGCAACCTGGTACTGGAATTCAAGTGCCGCGGCCAAAGAAAGTGGTGGTTGCGTAGTCCAAACATGCAAAGTATCGGAAGTGGCCGGCGGGTGGCCGGATACGCACTCGCTATGCAGAGCTCAGCATCAAGAGTCCCGTCAATTGCCGTCTCAGCCCGCCGCCAGCCTGCGCCATCCACGCAATCAGCTGCAAATCACTGCTACACCGATATCAATGCTCGTACTCTTACTGCCGAGAGCATTCTTTTCCGCGTCTGCGGTGCTGGGGGCAGCCACCAAACACGGGCTTGTTGGGCTGATCCCCGCATTCGAGCTCCGGACTTGGCATCGTCACAAGCTTCAAAGCTCCCCTCCGCCGAAGCACCGCCTTTAGCTCGCCATTCACGCTGATCCCTCGGCCCAGGCGTCAAGATGCGTGACGTCTGTATCATAAATATTATCGGTCGGCCGCCTGGCCTTCTCCGCACACTGCCTCTTGGACTGCTTTGTTTGGCCTCGCAGTTCTAGCTGGTGCGTTAGCACAAAAGCATACATCGAGAAGAGCGAGAGTATCTAGTTGAGATTCCACATACCAGGCCCTGGCTTCCGCCAGGCACAACAACGGGAGACCCGTCGGAGCTCGAGTTTCCAAGGTGGATTTCATTCGGGTCCGTCACGTTGGCTCGGATCGTCGCCCACGGGTAGCTTGCTGGGCGGCCGGACGGCGTGAAGACGCTGACGCTGGAGACTTGCCAGTCTTCCAGGCTGGTTTGCCGTGGTGTAAGCGGCGAAGCAGCCGTTGAAGCGGTACAGGCGAGGAATGCGACGAAGCAAGTGGGGAAGTGCATTTTATGTATTGACAAAGATTTACACCGTGGATTCCAACGTCTTCTCAATCTAAGTATGTACGTATGAAAAATATTCTTTCCAACTCGACCTACCTCCCCCCTCGCCCTCTTTTATATCCCGTCCGCCCCCAAGCTAGGAACACAACCCTCCACTCCACTCCACTCCACTCCACTCCACTCCACTCCACTCCACTTCCCTTGCCTTCCATTCCAACCCATACGACCATCATACCACAAGCTCGCCCCGCTGAACAACCCCGACTACCACCATCACCTACCACGCACCGATGCTGTCACATCCCGCGTGCATGTTTCGTTACCAAGTTGCATTAGTGCCAGGCCAGCTGCCCTATATATAGAAAAAATAAAATCGGGATCGGCGGCGCGAATGCCTGCATCTAGTTACTCGAGCTGGGCCTTGGAACGCCTTACCCAGTGTGTGCCTGGTATACTCATGCTCACAGCTCACACTCAGCTCGAGCTGTGGGGGAATGACGTAGTTAGGTGGATGTTTAAGTTTTTTTTTGGGGGGCAAAAAAAAGGTTACCGAGTGCAACGATATAGCAAGTTTATGTTTCAAACTCCGTCTCTTTTTTTTAATTTCTGGGGAAAAAAAAGGGTGGTGGTGCTTAGGGAAGTGGGTATTGCAAGGATGGGGGGGGGGTAATGAGTACAAGGAGGGGGGAAATAGTTGAAAAGACGACGACGATGATGATGACGGCATCCACACTCACACTGACGCTCACGGAAAGAAGCCAAGTAACAAAGCAATAAAGGTGCCAATTATACATGTATGCACGTAGGTGTACAGAGGTATACGGAACCCTCGTGTTCCAAAGACGTAGTAGACAGGGACCCGAGTATGTACCAAAGCACACCCTGATACAGCCGTCTGTACACTGGTACTAGCTCTCACTTTTCCTTTTCCTTTGACTCTGACTCTAACATACCCCGAATCACAGTTTCCTCTGCCTTGCCTTGCCTTGCCTTGCCTTGCCTTGCCTTGCCCTTCCTTCACAAGGGCACCCAGAACAAAAAAATAAAGATATTTTCAGCACCAATAAGTCTACTTACATGTCGTGTATACATGTTTGCAAAGTACGCAGCTTAAAGCGGTAATTGATAATCTGCGGCTGACAAAAAAAAGGGTGGGGGGGGGGGGTGGGAAAGATCCCATGTATATTAATGGACGGATGGATTGGATTGGATTGGATTGGATTTGATTGAATAAATTTTGTATAGGATTCATAGCGCTGTGACATGTGTGCATCATCTTGGACTCGGCAACTAAAAAAAATAAAAAATAAATAAAAAAAAGACAAACCTATAATATAAAAAAAAGATGAGAAAAGACAATAGATGGCTATGGTTGTGGGATAGACTATGGGAGTTTCTGATTTTTTTTTTTTTTTTTGCGATTGTTGGAGAAAAAAGACGTGTAAATACAGGATTGATGGGCATTTGGACTCCTCTTCTCCCAGCTACAAATGAATGAATTCATGGCAACAGTCTACTAATTCGACACGCCATTCTGCCCATCCACAACCCAATCTCCCTCCTCCTCTCCCTCTCCATCCCCCTCGTCATCGCTCACCCCCTCATTAAACATCATAAGCAGCTGCAACAAGCCATCCTGCGGACGATCCATATGTCTCGACAAGCGGGCTAGCGCGGGCATTTCCCAGGGGGCCGTGGCAACAAGCTCGTTGTTATTGGCGTCGAGTGACGGCGCCAGACTGACGATTCTGATGGCTTTTGTGGGGAAAATGCGGCCGTGGCCGTTGTCTTCTTGGCGCTGGCCGAGCGTCTGCGTGGGTTGTTCTTGTTAGCTACTGTTGTGTACTCCCGGTGTTTTTGTCTATGAGAAGGAGGACAGAGGGATACATACCGCGTACGTCGTCATAACCGCATCGTCATACAGCGCCATAAAGCTAACTGGAACAGCAAGCTGCGGGGCTGAGCTCGTAAGAAGCGCATACGAATATCGCTTTTCTTCATTATCATCATCATCGTCATCAAGTACAAGCTGGTTGTCAGCACTCAGCGCAACAATGTAGACGCGATTCTGAATCTCAAACATGACGCGGTGATTGCGGATGGAGAGCCAACCTCCCAGATCGAAGCTGGAGCCGTCGGAATCGCATTCGAGAAGCTGGCTGTGGGTTGCGACATCTTTGGGGCTACTGTGTGCGAGCGCCTTGCGGATATCGCTGCAGATGAAGACGCGGCCGAGGCGCGAGAAGCCGACAAAGAGGTTGCTGGAGCGGTCGAGCATGCCGGCGCCCCATTCGTCTTCGCCATTGCGGGGGTGGTTTGGGTCTTGAGGCGGATTTGGGAGGGGCCCTTTTGCGAGTTGGATGGGGGTAAGCCGGGTTTTGCGGGGTGCGGCGGGAGGAAAGATGCGGCGAGTTGGGCCGTGGCGTAGTGCAGCGAGGGCAGCGCTCGATGTGGGATTGTGGACGGGCGGGAGTGGATGGACGTGGTATCTTTCCGTGCAAAGTGAGGGCTGGAGTTTACCCAAACACTGGCCCGTCTTTTTGTCGTACACATGGTACCCGCGCGTGCCCATGGAGTAGACGACCATGTCTTCGTTCTGATCCAGATGGCCCACGGCGTCCTGCTCGATATTGATATGGGTAGTCAGCTTGGGCGGGTCCTGCTTCATGTCGTATACGAAGCCCTGGCCCTCGACCGAAACAACCACCAGTGTCCAGTATGAGAGCTGGAATCCTCTTGTCTGGCAGTTGTGATCGAGCACCGCAATGCGCTTGAATACTCCTCTTTCACCGCCCTCGTCATCTGTCCGCCACACCTCGACCGCATCGCCCTCGCGATCAAACACGGCTGTTCCATCTTGGTACTCTAGATGTGCATACGGCCTGACGGCATACTCGTCCGCGGTATCCAGCACCGAGGGCAACCGCCAGAGCAGACGGCCGGTGTCCATATCCGACACATTCAAGCCGCCAGCATGCGACGTGGAGATGAAGAAGCGGCGTTTGAAATCCGTCTTGAACCGCCAGATGGCATCGTTGCCCACCTGGAGTACAGACTCGCGCGTCACGGGCTGCGGCGAGTTCCAATTACGCGCCAGCAGCGTCTGCCGCCTGCATAGGTCCTTCCAGGACGAGACATTGGCAAAGAGCTTAGAAAAGCTGGTGTTGTCCTGGACAAAGGAAAAGTCGCGGCCATGGCCAGGTGGTTGAAGGGTTTTTGGCGGCTGACAAGTCTTGGATGGCGACGAGTAGATGGCGTCCTGGTGTGTGTCGTCGATGAACTGGTGCCAGGCACGTGATACGCATGTAAGAGAAGCAAGCACCGACACGGGCGTGAAGTCGAGGATGCGAAGGACAATCTCGGGTGGGAGGACGGTAAGCGGGTCGGCCATGGTGGGATGGCCAGGCATTGTGTAGGTGGGCGGGTATTCTGTCTAGGCTGAAGCTTTTGGGCGCTGATCTGCACTTTGTTGCACTGTTGCTGTCAATGGCTTTGGCACAAGATTGTCGGTGGACTGGAGAAACCGCTTCCGATGAAGTCATTGTGGAGACGTCACGTTGGTTAGTCCATGCACCAACTGTGGACAACACGTATATTCGCAGAGGTGGCCCTATACTGACATTCGAATGAGCAGAAAGAATAAATCCCTCAATCGATACTACCTCCGTGTATCTTATACCAGAATGCACGTAGGTTCGCATTATCCACGCAACAACCAACCCCCCCACATTCCAACCTCACAGGTCACCCAGCACGGCAAACAGCCTTGCAACCAGACATCAACCGATTGGTGAACAGCACCAGCATGATGACTACATCGCATTCCATTTGAGCGATAAGCCGAAAGCCGCGATAATAACACTCTCAAATGCAGCCTAGGCTCCGCCTGCGGGGGACTGCATGCCAAGCGCGACCAAGGTGCTCTACTAGCAGGGAAGACATCAGCAAGTCGTGGGACCCCAACCGCTTCGCTGTCTACTACGATGAAAAAGGCATGTATAAAGGTGCTGTTATCTCCATGCATGTAGGATCTCCATGGCAATAGCGCAAGACATGGGGTAGGAGATATGGGGTACAAAAGGCACAACGGGGAACGCTGAATGCACATGACGGACGCACGCTCACCATGGCACGCCGCCTTCTCTCCGCTCTGCTAACCGCATGGTTGGCACTGGCGCCCATCTGTGCTACGGCAGCTCCGCTCATGACGAGGAACCCGTATAGCTTTGTGCTCAAGAATCCCCACGGCAACGCTATATTCGAGCTTGGAAATACATCGTACCTTGCGAATACCCAGCACCCAAAAGCCACAGCGCCATGTGCAACTTCTTCAGGCTCTTCCACCGCGATTCCCGTGACGGTAGTGAAAACAAACGAGACGGTCATTACAAAGGCCGTGTTGGAAGCGGTATTCTCGGCATACCTCGACGGCGACGACGTCTTCAGTTATGATTTTCTCGACGGACTCTATGTTTCGTCGAGTGCAGGCCAGGCTTCCATGGATGCGTCTGCAGTCGAGTATCTTGCCCTGTTCAACAGCACGTGGCTCTTGACCGATGCCTCTGTTTCCGCAGACGCACCGCAGATAAACAAGGCGGTGCTCGCGTCTGCTGTGGATATCCCCATAGGACCGTATCTTGCGTCTGTGGAAGATGGCGTTGTGAGCTTCGCGGCTGTGTACAGGTTGTACGAGGACAGCTACAAGACGTTTCTGTTTGGCGCCTATGACGCAAATGACGGACAGGAAAATCACAATCCACTGGGTGTATTCTTGCCCAAGTTTTGGAGTCCAATGATACCGTTAGTACTGAACTTTATACTCTTCGAAATATCGTTTTCAAAAAGAAGTCTGGACTAACAACTCCAAGCGTCCCATCACGACTCTACTCGTGGCACGACGCCCGGCCCCTCGCCGGTCAGCGCGTGGCCATCAAAGACCTGTACGACATCAAAGGGCTGCAAACGTCGGGCGGAAGTCAGGCGTGGGCACGCATTACCCCAGTGGCCAACGGAACTGCACCGTCAGTGCAGCGGATTCTCGATCTCGGGGGCGTGCTTGTGGGCAAGCAGAAGCTGGCACAGTTTGCGTCGGGCGCGAATCCGTGGGAGTGGCAGGACGAGCAGTACCCGTTCAATCCCAGGGGCGACGGGTGGCTTACGTGCTCGGCTTCGTCGTCGGGAGGAGGCTGCTCGGTGGCGGCGTACGAGTGGCTTGACTATGCCATTGGGAGCGATACGGGGTCTTCGATGAGGAGGCCTGCTGCCGTGGCCGGAGTATACGGGTGCGTTTTTCAGCCATACTCATATTGTGGCTTACTGATAAGCGTAGACAGCGTCCAAGCCAGGGCCTCATGTCTCTGGAGCGCGTGATTCCGCTGGGCGCCGCAACAGACACAGCCGGCGTCTTCTCGCGCGATCCCTACAAATGGATCAACTTTTCAAAAGCATGGTATACACCGAGTCTGTACCAAGACCCGTCCATCACGGGGCTGTCGCCCCTCGTGGTTCCCGACAGCACTGCGTTTCCCAAGACGATTCTATATCCAACCGATTACCTTCCGCTCAACAACTCGGCTGCCGAGCCGATCCTGCAAGACTTCATTGCCGGCATGGTGCGCGTTTTTAATATGACTGTCAAGGAGATCAATTTCACCGCTACAGTGCAGAATGCCACGGACCCCGTTGCGAGTAACTTTACCATCACGAGCAGGGCCACGGGCGTAATCAACACATGGAGTGCATGGCAAGTCGTTGGCAAGCCCCTCATCACGGCATGGAATGCTCTTTTCGACGGCCGCTTCCCGCCCATCGACCCGGCAAGACGCCTGGGCTGGATCGCCTTTGACGAGTCTGCAATCAACCAGACTACCTACGATGCAGCGCTCGACACTAAGAACCAAGCCGTGCAGTGGTACGAAAAAGAGTTTCAGTACAGCACGGCCGAATCATGCTCCGAGTCGGTCATGATCTATGACATTGGCACGGGCGGGTTGCCTTCGTTTCGGGAGCGCGAGCTCAACGAGTCGCCGGATGCGTCGTACCTGGCCGTTCTGCCCGAGGGAGCGGCCGTGACGGGCGCGAGCATCTGTCCTATTTTCGGATGCGCAGACTTTACCGTGCCGATTGGCCAGGTGCCGTACCAAAGTAACGTTACGTTTCACGAGGAAATGGTGCCCGTGACGATCAACTTGGTGGTGAAGCGAGGCTGTGACTTTGTCCTGTATAACATGATTGAGGAGCTGGCCGACGAGGGCGTGCTAAAGACGGTCAGAACGGGCAAAACAGCATACTAGTAAATGTAGTAACAAATACGATGCGTGCAATGCCAACATGGATGATGCTACGGAGGTGAAAGTGACCTGACAACTTGAGCTGGCGTGTGGTGCCACTGTTGAAAGGCGGGTGAAGAAGAAGAAATATGCAAAAAGTACATGCAAAGAGCGGGCGCGTCGTGAGGGGAAACGAAAAAAAGGCAGCGTGCCGACGAATGATATATTGCTTTTTTAAGCGTTTAGTGGAGGCAGCAGACGGCACCAATAGCTGAGTAGAGTGTCGCTTGGCCATGCCAAAAGCGTGCTTGCGAGCCTGACGTGGCCCAGCAACTCTTGCGTACAAGAGGGCCACCATGCATCATTCTACCTGTCGAAGAGCTACCACAACGCCAAATGTAGAGCAGACAAGGTGGTGTGTCAAGTGTCTATAGTACCCCTGAAGCTTTTGAAATCCCGTGTTGATGCAATATTAGATGGAGACGAAGAGACGAAGAAGAAGAAGGAGAAGAAGGAGAAGAGAAGGAACAAGGCGCGTCTATGTTCGGTGCATGGTACATCGGTCGAGCGCGTCGAGCAGCTCGGGCCGGTCGGCCAGGGCCTGTCGCGCCTGGGTATAGCTGAACCAATTTCGATTCCGCTTGTGCTGCTCGGGCCATTGGGCCTCCTGCTTCTCGACCGTGGCTTCGAAGAAATGGTACGAGGCCTTGGGGGCCTGCGACGTGAGCTGGTCGGGTCTCCGCTTCTCAGGGATGAGGCCGAGGTCGTAGTTGATTTTGCATATTATGCCCGCCTCTTCCCAGGCCTCGCGCTTGGCGGCGTCCTGGGCCGTCGCCTCGTCTGTTTCCCAGCCGCCCTTGGGGAGGACCCAGCCACTGCGCTTGGTCGACTGGATGAGGAGCACGTAGTACTTGTCGGCAGAAAGCGGCACCACGCCGGCGACTAGGCGCTCGCCTTGGGAGCCGTACCCTAGAGCCAATCAGCCGCGCGACGAGCAAGGGGAGGGCGGAACATGTCGGGGCCATGGGGACGGGGGGGGGGTGCTGGAGGGCGATGCGGAGCGAGGGCGGAGGCTAAGCGGAGGGCGGAGAGCGATGGGGGGGGGGATTTTGTGGGGGGGTCGCGTGAGCAGAACTTACGCTGATTGACACGTCCAGTGCGTGACTGCATCGACAGCTGTTGGGTAGCGGCCATGTCGTGGCGGGAGGCAGGCAGGCAGGCAGGCAGGCAGACAGGCACTTGGGCAGGACCGGGGGTGGTGAGGGTTGGAAGGGAGGGAGGGGGGAGGAGGTTTTGAGCGGCGGCGGCGAGGCAGGCGGTGAAATGAAATGAAGCCGAGCGTGTGTGTGTGTGTGGCCTGAAGGGATGGGCGGCGAGGGATAGCTAAGCAGGAGCTAGGGACAAAAGGGGAGCGAGCGAGAAGGGGCGGGCGAGGGCGAGGCGCGGGCGCGGGCGTCTTGGTGGTGGTGGGCGTGTGGGCGTCTTGGGGTGGGCTGCGCGAGGCTCAGTCCCGCGGGTGACGGGGCTGAGGAGGGTGGAGGAGCCTGCGGGCAGCAGAAGCAGAAGAGGGCGGCATGGTGTGGATGGGGATGTTTTAGTAGGTGGTTCGGGTCAGGGACTTTTTACGTGGGAGACTAAGGGCTAAGGGCCTCGCGGAAGCGTCACGGCTGTCGCCAAGGCCGGGGGCCTGCAAGTGCTGGTGCTTGTCCGGCCTGGCCTGCCGCCGCCGTGAGAGGGCGACGGCACGGCGCTGGACGGGCGAATGAAGGAACCATCCATGCGTCCGTGGCAATGCAATGCGCGGCACTCAAATCAGCCAACGGCCATGGCCATGCGCCGGGTGCGAGTCCATCTGCCACGGCTGCTGTACATGTACTGGACATGTATGCACTGCACCGCGAAGCGCTCCCAGCCAAACCCGCCCGGGAATGACGTACCGCCGCCCGCCGCCCGCCGCCCACTAGAAAACGCCCAACCGCCCCCGTGTGTGTCGCCAGGCTCTGGCGGGCGTGACAGCCCGAGTCGAATACCGCTGACGGTGCTGCCATGCTACATGCTATCACCGCCATCGCCATCGCCATCGCCATCACCGCCACCGCCATCATCGCCATCGCAGGTACACGGCCGCTGACTACTGCGCGCTGACCCCGCCGGCGCGTATCATCATTGCCATTACTACTGCCTGCTACACACTGCCCAGTACTCGCTACATATCACGCCCACCGCCCACCGCCCACCGCCCCCGCCCGCCCCCGCCTCGCCCATCCAGTACAGGCACACAGGGCGAAGAATCAAAGATAAAAATTAACATTATCCTTCACCCCAACACGCGCCCGACAAGTCGCCGCCGCCGCCGCCGCCCCCACCAGCTCCCACGCTTATGCTGCCCTCATGCAGTCAAGTGTAACGCCCTTCGGTATGTTTTGCTCCAACCAATCTTCTGGGATCCGGCTCGTGCCTGTCTGGCTGGTCGCTGGCCGTCCCTGTCCGTCCCTGTCCAGGCCGTTAACCCTCCCCTTTGTGCAGGCTACAGCAGCGAGTCGTGCGGATACTGCAAAGACGCTGCACAAGGCCGCAGGACCGCCAATTCGCGTACGTCGCCTCTTCTCTGCCTCTCTCGCACTCTCTCACACTCTCTCGCCCGCCCTCGCCCGCCCGCGCCCTCTGCTTCGTTTGCGCCCGGCCTTTCTCCGCCTGCCTGCCTGCCGTTGATGTTCCGTTAAGGTTGCACAGCTGCACGTGCAGGGCCCCGCGCTGCAAGCAATTCTTCTTCCAAGATCGGACGCCTCCCCTCCACCCCCCTGCACATCCCACCCATCCACCCCTCGTCTCCTCCTCGTCTCCTCTCCCATCCATTCACGCCCGCCTCCGATCCACGTCAACCACAATGCCTCGCCCTGCCCCCAATGCCGCGCCCTGCCCTGCCCTGCCTAGCCTCGACCTCCACAGTCACGCGTCCCTCTGAATCCACCCGCTCAACATGTGTCTCCATGGACGGCCCCAGCTTCGGGCGGGCGAAGCCGGCATGAGCGCCCAGCCCTGACTGACGTAGCCCAATCAGGCGCCAGCTACTACTTTTCCTCCAAAAGCTTGACCGTTGACGTCTACCAGCTGCTCGTCGACCGCGGCTGGAGAAGGTAGTCGCCCCACCCATGCACACAGTGACAGCCTTTCCTAGTAACTGACACTGCCTAGGTCCGGCTCCATCTTCTACAAGCCCGACGTGCTGCGGCACTGCTGTCCGCACTACACGATCCGGTAAGCACTATCATGGCACCATGCCGGCAATCACTTACGTGCTGCCAGCCTGCCGGTTGCTTCGTTCAAGCCCTCCAAGGACCAGCGCAAGGCAATCAATCGCTGGAACGACCATGTGCTAGGCGAGTCGTACCTCAAAGAGGCGTCTAGACTGTACCCGCTGTCCAAGGAGTCCGTGTCCACCACTACACGCCCTGGTCTAGGCTAATGGTCGCTAGAGAGAAAGCTCGGCTAAAAAACACTTTTGATCTGGCGCGCGAGGTCCACAAGGCAGAGCTGCACAACGTCAAGCGCCCGCCAGAGCCCGCCCATCGCTTTGAAGTGACGCTCGAGCCCGCCAGCTTTACGCATGAAAAATATGACCTCTTCAACAACTACCAGCAGACCGTGCACAAGGAAAAGCCCAGCGAAATATCCCAGTCGGGCTTCAAGCGCTTCCTGTGCGAGACTCCACTAAAGCGCACCTCGAGGACCGTAGATGGCAAGGAGCAGCCCTTGGGCTCTTACCACCAATGCTACCGACTGGACGGACGCCTGATTGCCATGGGCGTCCTTGACCTGCTGCCTCACTGCGTTAGCGGCGTTTACATGCTGTACCATTCCGACTTTGCAGAGTGGCAGTTTGGCAAGCTAAGTGCCCTACGCGAGGCTGCGCTTGCGCTCGAGGGCGGCTACCAGTATTACTACATGGGCTACTACATTCACTCGTGCACAAAGATGAAGTACAAGGGCGACTACAAGACGCAGCACGTCCTGGACCCAGAGTCTTACGAGTGGCACCCGCTGGATGGCGAGCTGCGCAGTCTGCTGGACAAGAAAAAGTACGTGTCCATGTCGAGGGAGCGACGCCGGCAGCTGGAAAAGGCATCGGCACAGGACAAGACGGGCGACGCAGAAGCTGCAGAGCAAGACGACTACTCGGACTATCCCCTACCCACAGCTGCCGCAGCCGGCGAGGCAGTCTCCAGCGGAATGTCGCTCTTTGAGCTCAAGGTGCCAGGACTCATGACGGCTGAGGAGATTGAAGAGAAGCTTGACCTGGCCACGATGCCGATCCGGGTGGGCAGCAGGCTGGTAGAACTCCAGGTATGCCGGCGACTCGAGTAGGAGTGGGGAAACTAAGATGATTAGTGCTGACTGCTCGACAGGATCTGGTATCATGGGAAAGCAGCGATCTGAGGAATCCTCGGTCAATCCAAGGTGTTGTTGGGGAAATGGTTGCAGGCATGGGCCCTGAAGCTGCTTGGCAGATTGTGATCCAGCTGGGATGAGTGGCGTGCATGCAGTGAGATGAATGATGAGACGAATTTACGATGTGATGCCAGCGAGAGGCGCTAGGTTGCGACGGAAGCTTGTGATTGTTTCGTGTTTAGGCTAGTGCAACATCGGATATGAACTTGTAGTCTTGTGCCATGATTGCTATCTTGGGTGGCTGATTGTGTCGAGGGTTGACGTTGACGTTGGTGCATCTCGAGGGCTGGCTTTCGGTGGTAGGAAAAGCCAAGCCTTCCTTCGCAACCGAGGCACCAGTCCAGGGCGGATTCTCCTCAAAGTCGCACCCTCGACCCAAACATTGACACTGCACACCACAATGTCGTCCGCTCCCCTCACACTTGTCGTGCGCCCTCGTGGTATGTGAAAACCAGTAGGCGATCAATTTCTAGCAATAGGATTTTTTTTTGCTTCTTTTCGATTGGCCAGCCGACTGACCCCGCCTAGGCCGCCCGATCAAGAACCTTCCCGAGACCGTTACCGTCAGCGCCGACGCCTCTGCCGCACAGATTTTCGAGGAAATTGCAAAAGCATCCAAGTTTTCGGCTCATCGCCTGCGGGTCACAAAGGGTAGCGATGGGTCGCCAATTCCCAACACGCGGGACGTCAAGGTGTACGACACGGGCCTGAGGAACAAGAGCGCCGTCGACGTCAAGGACTTGGGTATGTGATGCAGCTCGGTGTGCAGGGCATGGCTTACCGTTTGCAGGGCCGCAAATCTCATGGCGAACCGTCTTCATCGTCGAATACCTCGGACCGCTCCTGATCCATCCGCTCTTCTACTATGGCCGCCCCCTCATTTACGGCACCTCTGCGCCTCCGTCAGAGCTCCAGAAGCTCACGATGCTCATGTGCGTGATGCACTTTGCGAAGCGCGAGTACGAGACGCTGTTTGTGCACCGCTTCTCGTCGGCCACGATGCCCGCATTCAACATTGTCAAGAACAGTGGACACTACTGGCTCCTTTCGGGTTTGAACCTAGCCTACTGGAGCTACAGCCCCAGCAGCCCGGCGGCGGGGCCCTCGAACCCGCTCCTCACGTACCTCGGGCTCGCGCTGTTTGCCATTGGCGAGGTGTGCAACTTTAGCACACATGTTACGCTCAAGAACCTACGGCGTCCCGGCAGCACGGAGCGCGGCATCCCTCAGGGACTGGGCTTCAACCTGGTGACATGCCCCAACTACATGTTTGAGTCGATGGCGTGGATCGGAGTGGCTCTGGTGAACTGCAGCTTGAGCACCGTTCTGTTTATTGTGGTGGCTGTGGGACAGATGGGCGTGTGGGCGTGGAAGAAGGAGAAGAGGTATCGCAAGGAGTTTGGCGACAAGTACAAGCGCAAGAGGTACGCCATTCTGCCGGGCCTCTGGTAAATGGAGCATCACGCGACCAGGTGTGTGGTGGAATAGGCAGGTGCAAGCTTTGTGGGGTGGCACGGCATATGGAGCGCTGTGCAAAGGCGAATGTAGAATAGGCTGCATGGTGTGGGCTGGGCCTGGTGCGAGGCTGAATTGGTGGAGTCGGGTGGAGGCCGTCAACGCAGATGGTCCCGCCGGCCACCAGATGGGCAACATGTCCGCAGCTATCGTCCGTGTTTGGAGTATATGGTATGTATGTAGTGTGTAACTAATGCTGTGAAGACTCTGCAAAGGCTCAATTCACTTGTTGAATTTCCAGTGGCATGCTGAGAGTTATGTCGAGGTCATCACATGTCGAGCTTGCTGTATCTTTGGATGCATCATGTGCCCCGCGACGCCACCACTCCGCCACTACCACCACTACCACCAGCACTACTGCTACCACCTCGGCGCACCCCGTTCGTCCGTCCGTCCGCCCGCCCAATGGCCCTGCATAAGCGCGGGTTCATTGACAAAAAGAAAAAAAAGTACAGAATCAATCCTTCAACCCACTTGCCTGTTCCGTACAACCTTGAATCTTACTTTTTTATTATCTGTACCCCAAGAAACCAATTGCCTGTCTACCTTGTTCACCGGCGGTAGGATAACACAGTGATGATGACGCGGATGACGACGATTACGAGGAGGAAGGCCATATGGGGGCCAAACACCAAGCAGAAGGACTAGGACATGGTCAGACCATACCATGCCATGCCATGCCATGCCATGCAATTGGAGCGTTGCCTTGGCGAACAGCTGTGTTATGTAGACATGTAGCCTTTGCCCAGCCCGGCCAGTTCGGCTGGCCCGCTCAAGAAGGCAAAACAGCAAGGGAACAGGACAAGAGGCAGAGGCAGACCGACGTTTGGGCGAGGCTGAAGCACGGAAATAGAGCGTCGTGAGGTGTGCGAACAAGGGTGTTTGAGCGGTCTGCTTCAGCCCTCTTCCTTCTTCTCCCCACACGCACATCCACACCCCCTTGTTCCGTTGTGCGGTCATTTGTATCTATCGTCGAATTAGCTGGCTGGACTGGCTGGGCCAGGTAGACTAGGTGGATAATACCGCCGTTCCCATTCGTCCTTGGCCAGTTTTTCCCCTTGCTTCTCATCCATGCATGCTTCAACCCATCTCTTTTCTCGTGCTCGGCTGTCAGCCTCGAGCTGAAGATATACGAGCAGTGCGGGGGCTGTTTTCTCGTCGTTCGCCCTTGGTTCGTTGGCTTGCGCGGCTGGTGGATGGCTTGGTGGGGCACACGGCGGCAGGGGCTGAAATACTGTACGTACAGAGAGAGCAAAGGCCCTCAGCTGCAAGGCAACGGCATGAGCTGTCGTCAAGGTGGGCAGCACACGCCTGTAGCGACACCTTGGGGGGGCAGTCGTCTTGGGTATAAGATGCTGATGCGTGCGTGCTTGGGGGGGTCCGGCCTTTTGCTCCAAGCGCCTTTTTGTTTGGACCTTTGCTCTGGAGTAAGTAAGTAGACGGACACACACAGAGACAGCACACCGGATACCCCTCGTCGCCCTTTCTTTTTTGCGACGTGTACGCCCACTACTACACACCTGCATTACATACATTGCGCAGTGCATACTTGCTTCTCCAGTCTTCCTCGCCCCAGCTACACCACACCACTCTTGCTCTTGCTTCCGCCCCATCCATCCCTCTTGCCAGCCGCCTTTCTCCACACACACACACACACACGCAGAGGTACCACAGTAACCAGAAGGCGCTGCCGGAAGCCAGCGCCTGCAGCAGTCACGGATAGCCGACGGCTTTTATTGTTATATACCTGAGAGAGGTAAGCTCTTCAACCCTCCCACTCAACTCCCTCTTGCTGTTTCTCCTTTCGTGGGGCTACTACTCGTCGTCTCGGTGGGGTGCCGCTATCTTGCACCACGCCACCTACTTATCACGACTCCAACAAACTACCTCCCCACATCATCGACGTTGATTCTAACCATCCCAGCGCCATGTCTGACGCCACTGGAGACGCCAAGGCGGTTTGGGATGCCCACGTCGATACCCGCAAAGGCATGGAGCCCCCCAAACCCGATGACCCGTCTGAGCTCAGTAACCTGCGCAACACGATTGGTGCTCCGTTCAGCGCTGCTGCCTCGCTGATCGGGGCCGTCAGAGCCCCAGTCCCCGACCAGACGGGCGATGGCTCCAAGATTGCCCCAGAGGAAAAGGCGTCCATCATCAAGGAAATCGAAGGCGGCCTGCGGGACATGACGTATCTCAACATTTCAAACATCAAGTCTCTGGTCGAAATCCAAAAGGACAAGATGCTCGGCAGCTACACTGACGACAAGACGTATCTGATGGAAGGCCTGATTCGAACCGCTGCCGCGCTGCCGGATGGCTCACAGACACGAGAAAAAGTCACGGGTGCTTTTCTCGAACAGCTGTGGAATGACCTGCAGCACCCCCCGCAATCATATCTCGGTTCAAAGTACCAGTACCGGTCTGCCGATGGGTCTTACAACAGCCTGACGGAGCCGCAGGTCGGAGCCGCCGGCACCCCGTACGCGAGGACAGTAAAGCCATCGACTATGCAGACGCCTGCTCGCCCGGACGCGGGCGTCGTCTTTGACAGTCTTATGACGAGGAAGCATGCAGAGCTGCATCCAAACCGAATCTCGAGTATGCTGTTTTATCTGGCGTCCATCATCATCCATGACTGTTTTCGCACGAGCCATGAGGATTACTCCATCTCAATGACTTCGTCTTATCTCGATCTCTCTCCATTGTACGGCAGCAACCAGGCCGAGCAGGACATAATGAGGACCGGAAAGGATGGAAAGATCAAGCCTGACTGCTTTTCCGAGTCGAGGCTGCTGTTCTTCCCCCCTGGCGTGGGCGCGTTGCTCATCATGTTCAACCGTTTCCACAACTACACGGTCGAGAACCTAGCTGCTATCAACGAACAGGGCCGCTTTACCAAGCCCTCGACTGAAGCGCCCAAGTCGACGGGCGACGTAGAAGTCGACAAGAAGAGCAAGGAAAAGTATGATGCTGCGTGGAAAAAGTACGACAACGACCTCTTCCAGACTGGCCGTCTCATCACCTGCGGTCTATACGTCAACATTATCTTGCTCGATTATGTCCGCACAATCCTGGACCTCAATCGCACCGACAGCAACTGGCAACTGAATCCGCGCGCCGACATTCCAAACCTGCCGATGGGCGTCGGAAACCAGGTTTCGGCCGAGTTCAACCTCGTCTACCGATGGCACTCTACAGTCTCTGACCGTGATGAAAAGTGGACGCAGGAGATGTGGGATGGCCTGTTTGGCCCAGACCGCGACCCAAAGAGCGTTGGTAAGTACGAGTTCTTGGGGCGCCTGAACGACGTATACAAGCAGACGGACCGTGATCCGTCGAAGCGTAAATTCGCCGGCCTCGAGCGCAAAGAGGATGGCACGTTGCCTGACCAGGGTCTTGTCGACATTTTGACGTCGAGCATCGAAGACTGTGCCAACTCTTTTGGACCCAACAGAGTTCCAGCCGTGTTCCGCGCTATTGAAGTCCTGGGTATCGAGCAGGCACGCTCATGGAACCTGGGCTCCCTCAACGAGTTCAGAAAGTACTTTAAGCTCGAACCGCACAACACGTTTGAAGACATCACCTCGGACAAGTATGCCCAGGAGCAGCTCAAGCACCTCTACGACCACCCCGACAAGGTGGAAATCTACCCTGGTATCGTGGTCGAAGACGCCAAGAAGCCCATGGCGCCTGGATCGGGTCTTTGCCCTCCATACACGGTTTCTCGTGCCGTGCTGTCGGATGCCGTGGCACTGGTCCGCGGTGACCGGTTCTACACGCACGACTACAACCCACGTACCTTGACCAACTGGGGTTACCGTCTCGCTGATAGCGACACCGGCATTGACAACGGATGCGTATTCTACAAGCTCTTCCTGCGCGCCTTCCCACAACACTTCAAGTACAACAGCGTCTATGTGCACTACCCGCTCACGATTCCGTCCGCCATGCAGACGGCGCTCAAAGACCTCAAGAAGGACCATCTCTACGACTTTTCCAAGCCGGTGGCTACACCCCATCCCCAGTTTATCAAGGAGTACAAGCTCGCGACGCAGATTATGGAGGATCAGGCCACGTTCAAAGTGGTCTGGGGCCAGGCTATGGAATACATCATGGGTCCTGCAGCCGCCGACTTCATGCTTGCCGGCGACGGGCCCAAGAACACTGCTTCTCGCAAGATGGTCGGCAAGGCATTGTACGTTTCCGACTGGGAAAAGGACGTGCGCCACTACTACACTCTGAAGACGCGCGAGCTGCTCAAGGAAAAGAGCGCAAAGATTGCCGACTTCAACCAAGTCGACATTGTCCGCGACGTGGGCAACCTCGCCCACGTGCACTTTTGCTCAGAGCTCTTCATGCTGCCTCTGAAGACGGATGAGCAGCCGCGCGGCGTCTTCACCGAGGCTGAGCTCTACCTCATCATGTCTTCGGTCTTTGCTCTCATCTTCTTCGACGCTGATCCCGCGTCTTCGTTCCCTCTGCATGTCAAAGCCCGCAAGGCGACGCAGGTGCTCGGCAACCTTGTCGAAGCAAACGTCAAGGCCATTGCAAAGAGCGGCATCCTGTCCAACATTATGCAAGCCATCTGGCCCAAGGAAAGCACCCTCAAGCACTATGGAATCCACATGATCAAGCGCCTCCTCGAAAGCGGCATGGACCCCAAGCAGCTTGTCTGGGGACACATTCTCGGCACAGCAGGCGGCATGGTGGCGAACCAGGGCCAGCTCCTCTCGCAGATTCTAGAGTACTACATTCTCGGCGACGGCAAGCAGCACTGGGCCGACATCCAGGCGCTCGCCCAGCAAGACAGCGAAGAAGCCTTCCAGAAACTCGTCCACTACACCATGGAAGGTGGCCGTCTCAACGGCGAAACAGGCGTCATCCGCCGCGTCGCGACCGACATCTCGATCCCTACCGCAGACTCGCCGCTCAATCTCAAGAAAAACGACACCGTCTTTGTCAATCTCCGCGCCGCCTCGCACGATCCCACCGTCTTCCCCAACCCAGACTCAGTCGACCTCTCACGCCCCCTAGACTCATACATCCACCTCGGCCACGGCCCTCACGAGTGTCTCGGTCTCCCCATGACACGCACCAGCCTCACGACTATGGTCCGCGAAATCGCCAGACTCAAGAATCTCCGCCCTGCACTCGGGCCCCAGGGCAAGATCCACAAGGTTGCCAAGAAGATGGAGGCCAAGGGTGTTGAGGAGAAGTACTTGTATCATGCGTATTTGACGGAGAATCAGGACATGTATTTTCCGTTTCCGTGTGGTAAGTTTGTTTTGATCTCTGCTGTTATTGATTGAGACATGATTGCTGACGTTGTGTAGCGCTCAAGGTGTGCTGGGATGATTAGGGGGTGAATGTGTGTGGATATGGGAATGATGGACTGACTGATGAACTGGCTGGCTGGCTGGCTGAATGACGGATGGAATGAATGAACGAGTAAGAGTTCTAAGAAGCAGGAATTATCAGTATGTTGTATACTTAGGGACAATGGCGCTGGCGAATTTGTTTCTTTCTTTCTTGGGGTTTCAAGGTTTTTTGTAATCACCCCTTTTTTTCCATTGATGTATTGAATCAAATCAAATCAAGATATGACAACGGAAAATTCGCATCTGATTGCGGGTTATATATTCAACACATCAATACGACCGCTTCACCGGCGCCACGCTCGCCACCTCATCCTCATCCAACGTACTCATGACAACGCCCCTCGTCCCCACACGCACCTCGTCGCCCAAGTCCCCCTGCCACGTAACACTATGCCTCAGCCACCTTTCATCGTCTCTCTCTGGGAAATCGTCGCGCGCATGCGCACCCCTACTCTCTGTACGCGCCAGCGCCGCCGCGCCCGTCTGCGCAGCATTCGTCAGCAGATTCCGCAGCTCGAGCGTCTCAATCAGATCCGAGTTCCAGATGAGCGAGGCATCTGACACGCGCAGGTCGGTGGCGAAAGCGTGGTGGAGAGAGCGTAGCTCTGCGACGCCTTGGGCGAGCGAGGCGTGGGTGCGGAAAACGGATGTGTTGGTTTGCATTGCTACCTGCATTTTTGAGCGCAGCGCTGCCGTCGCCGTGCTGCCTGTGGAAGCACCCAGGAGCTGCGTCAGATGCGTGAAGGAGGTGAGACCTATGCTGGGTGTGCTGGCGTGGTGAGGTGATGCGGGGGCGTTGTGTGCGGCGATGTGGAGGGCTGCGGCTCGGCCCTGTACAGTAAGTAAGTATACTCGTGTTAGTATGTGGATGGAGGGTGAGTAAGCAGGAGATACGTACGAAGACGACAATGTCGAGGAGGGAGTTTGCGCCCAGGCGGTTGGCGCCGTGCACACTTACGCAGGCGGCTTCGCCTGCGGCATAGAGGCCTTGGACCATGTTTTCAAGGCCCGTCTCGCGGTCCACATTGAGGACTTGGCCGTGGTAATTTGTCGGGATGCCGCCCATGCAGTAGTGCACCGTGGGTAGCACGGGGATGGGCTCGCGCGTAATGTCGATGCCCGCGAAGATGGCGGCTGTTTCCGCGATGCCCGGCAGACGCTCTAGAATGACGTCGCGCGGGAGATGGGAAAGCTGGAGGTGAATGTGGTCTTTTTGCGGCCCGCAGCCTCGGCCCTGCATGATTTCCAGATTCATGCTGCGGCTCACAACGTCCCGCGATGCGAGGTCCTTGGCTGTGGGCGCGTAGCGCTCCATGAAGCGCTCGCCCTGGCCATTGACGAGGTAGCCGCCTTCGCCGCGGGCGCCCTCGGTGATGAGAACCTGGATTCAGGGTGTGAGGGAGTAGGCACGGGAGAATCAAAGCGGTGGAGTCACGTACGCCTGCGCCGTAGATGCCAGACGGATGGAACTGGACGAATTCCATGTCTTGGAGAGGGAGGCCTGCTCGCGAGACCATGGCGTTGCCGTCGCCGGTACTTGTGTGTGCGCTTGTGGCGCTGAAGTATGCTCGCCCGTAGCCTTAGCTTGTCAGTATGCATTGAATCTCAACTCGCAGAAAAGACAAGGAAGACATACCCCCAGTAGCCAGCACAGTGTTCTTAGCAAACATGCTATGACAGGTTCCATCCTCCATGTTCATGGCCGTAACACCCACACACCGCCCCTCACTCATCATCAAATCGAGAGCAAACCACTCAATGAAGAACTGGACCCCTTCTTTCAGACTCTGTCCGTAAAGCGTATGCAGCATTGCATGTCCAGTTCTGTCCGCCGCACACGCAGTCCGATACGCCTGTCCACCTTTCCCGTACTTCAGGCTCTGTCCACCCAGCGCGCGCTGGTAAATGGTGCCTTTACTCGTGCGGCTAAACGGCATGCCGTAGTTTTCCAGCTCGACAACTGCAGGCACGGCTTCCCGCGTCATGTAGTGGATTGCGTCTTGGTCGCCGAGCCAGTCGGAGCCCTTGACCGTATCGTACATGTGCCAGCGCCAGTCGTCCTCGGTCATGTTGCCCAGCGCCGCGTTGATGCCGCCTTGAGCTGCGACTGTGTGCGAGCGCGTGGGAAACAGTTTGGATATACAAGCGGTTTTCAGCCCGGCTTCGGTGAGCCCGACGGCGGCACGCAGGCCTGCGCCGCCGGCGCCCACGACAATCGCACTGTGCGTGTTAGTTTTGCGGTAGAGAGAGAGAGAGAGAGAGAGAACCAGACGCGTACTCGTAGTGGTGGTCAATAATTGTCAGGTCCTTGACACTAGGTGTGTTGATGGAGGCAAGGCGTCGCCGTTGCTGCGTGCGGTACAGACATGGTGAACGCGGTCGCCAGGTAGCTCGCACGAACGCGCGCATTGTGAAGGCGAGGAAGAAGCATCGGGATCAGGCTTGGGGCAAACGCATGAGATGTAGACATAAGCTCCAGAAGCCACTAGCTCATGTATACTCCCGCTCCCGTCTCTCTAGCTGATTCCTCGGCTGTACATATACGCGTGCAGCTGTCCCCCTCACGCAGACTACAGTGGCATGTGCATTTTACTGTACTCGAGAAAAAGTGTATTTAGACACGGAAATGCTGACAAGAGCAATAATCGGAAATAAGTCCGCCTGTACCCACGGCCGGACACAAGAGCGCAAAATGGAACTGGAAACACAGCACCGCGACATTCGCGGGGTACTCCACAATCCGGGGGAGGGGGGAATTGTACACACACACACACATACACATACACGTTCCTGGCATGACTCGCGCAAGTTACCGCGGCTTTGCAACGGCCCGCCAATCACAGGCCTCGTGTTAGCAAGCCGAGCATTTTTCTTAGTCGGCTACTCAGCAGTCCACGCTAGAGCATTCTGGGAGCGGAATCCACGGCACGCCACCAATGCATGCAGCTGTGACATGTCGATTGCACGTGTAAAGAGTAGTCACGTGTACGACATTAGACAGCTAGGCTGGTGGAAGTCTTTAATAAAGTCTCTTTTTGAATGTAAGTAAGGTTGAATATTATGTGCTACGTGTGCTGTTCTGACTATCCTCAGTGCAGTACTTAAATCTATTCCTAGTACGCCAAGTACGCCCCGTAATCAAGCTGATGAATACAAGAAACAAGTAACTACAACTCGGGAAGTTTTGCGCCAACTCCTAATTATTCAGTGTTCGACCAAGTGCATTGTAATCATCCTCGCCTCGTCGTCTTTCTCCGCATGTTTCCCTACTGCAGCGAAGCAGACAACTTTCCAATCATCTCGCAGAGCCTCTGATTGATCATTTCTGCACTCGCGGGTGTGATGATGTGCTCGTTACCCCTGACTACAATCCTGAGCCCGTCTTTGAGCGGGTAGGACACCACAGTCAGGATACAAGGTACTGAATCGGGATTCTGGAACCAATGCAGGCGAGAGGTGGTGTCTTCGAACTCGAACTCGGGGTGTTCGTTCAGGTTCTGGTGCTGGAACACCGAGTCGTAGTGCGTATCGGCTGGCCAGTCTGTCGCCGTGCGGACTATCTCGTCAAAGCCCAGTGAGTCTGCTTCACCCAGTGCGATGTACTGTTCTTGAATCAAACGCACTAGTTCGGTTGAAGTAGCTGTTGCATGCACCCGTGCTCGGACTGGAATGATGTTGAGGCAAGGACCGACAATCTTGCTCATGGTCGGGATATTAGCATTGCGGCCAGCTACCATGTATCCGTAGACTACATCTTCTTCTCCGGTGATTTGCGAGAGCACCTTTGCCCAAGCCGCACTGATGATTGAAGCCAGAGTAAGACCAGTGGGGACATGAGGCTTGGCGGTAATGCTTTCTGTCTGAACTTCAATTGGAGTGATGCCACGTCGGATACTGGGACCCAGCAAGGGAGTAGCTTTTGTTATCCGCGAACCTTGGAGGACCTTGCGCCAGTGCAGGACCGAAGCTGATTTCTTACCCTGAATACAGGCCAGATAAGTCGAGTGTGTAGGGGAAGGCTCCGGGGGCTTGCCACAGTAGAGGGCGAACAGCGCTTTGATGAATGATGGGAAACAAACTCCATCGTATTGAGCGTGCGTAATGCGGAAGACCAGACGGTGTTCGCTTGAGGCGCTTCGCACCAGCATGAAAGCAGTGGCCAACTCCAGAGGCTCCGTGGTCCGACTGTCTTCCAGACAGACAGTGTCAGCTGCTTCGTCGAGAGAGATATCCAGATGGAACTCGGTGAAAGGAACTTCTGGTTTGCGAAGAACGGTTCCCCATAATACCCCATCCACGTAAACAAACTTGGTTCGAAGTATAGGGAAGTGCTGGACAAGGGCGGGGATGCTGCTTCGGAGGCGAGAGACGTCAACACGGGGCCCTAGATCGAGGAAGAAATAGTTGAAAGCGAGAGGTTGAATATTGACACCACGGGAAATGAAGAGATTCTGCATCCATGTCGTCGGAAGGATCTCGACAATGTCGGCGCTATCCACATTGGAGGTTGCCGCAGGTATAGCCTGGAGGAGATGGTCCTTTTGGGTTGGCGAGAGGAGAGAGAACGGTTGAATCGGCTTGTCTTCAGCTTCTTGTTGAGAGAACTGAGCTACTGTAGCCAGGTTGGCGAGTTTAGGGTGCTGGAAGATGTTCGCAATAGTGAGGTGGATGTCTTCCTCTCGCGCGGCGGCGACTATCTTCATAGCCGCAATTGAGTCTCCGCCTAGCTGAAAGAAGCTATCTTCTAACCCAATTCGACTAGCGTCAATCCCAAGGACTCGCGATAGTATCTGCTGCACTTTGAGCTCTGCAGTGCTTAGTTCTCGTTGCAGCCCTTCTTGGTTGACTACCGTCTGCGTTTTTGTTCTCTGGATGAGAGCTTTCCGATCTACCTTGCCGTTCTGGTTGATGGGAAGTTTATCCAAAACTTGAATCGATTGCGGCACCATGTATGAAGGCAACTGCAGCTTGACAAGCTCATCCAGCTGCTGTTGGACTTCTTTGACGAGTTGCTGTCGCATTGGCTTGTTGCTGAGGGTCTGCCGTGGCCGTTCGGCATGATCGGTTGGGAATGAAAACATCAGTCCTGCCTTGCTACTATCACCGTTGATTTGCCGAGGATAGAATATCGCGTCCATGCTACCTTGCTGTGAATATTGCCTGTTCCAACTGATCTGCACATGGCAACCCGCTGCCTTGGCCATCTCGTCCAGATCAATGGCAGAAAGGCTTGGTATCCGCTTGGTTTCTTGGTTAATCAGAGCGGTCCAATCCGTGTGGGCCGGCTTTCTGGCTTTTTCGTCGTCCAGGGAGCCCAAAAGGCATTTTCCGAAGATGGTCTTGCTGCAGGGTATGTTGCTTATGGCTACAGGACGTGTGCTTGGCACATTACTGATGCGCTCCTGGAGAGAATCACGGTCCAGGCCCTGCTCTTGGAAGTCGATCCATTCATTGTCAGCGATAGTTCGAAGCCCTCCGCATGGCGGACTCCAGGCTCGAGAGTAAACGACTGCTGTGTAACGGTAAGAGCTCAACTCGTTCGTCGCCTTCATTTTCTTGGGCTGAATCTCCACATGCTGGACCAGATCAGGAAGCCGCTGTGTTAGTGAAGTAAAGAAGCCAGGATCAACCAGTAGCTCGCGTTCGATCTGTTCCATATCCTCCACCATACGCCGTAGATCCTCCTTACTAGCCCTTTCACCAGCCATAAAGAGCGCCCTGGCTGCAAAGAATTCCCGGTGCAGGGCATGAGAACGGATGTCGCCAAAGAACAATGTCTCAACCCCGTCAACTTGAAGTAGGTCTCGGACCACGTTGAAAAGATACTCTTGGCTGGGGAAGTACTGGACCACGGAGTTTAGAATAACCAGGTTAGCCTGGGGTGGCGGGTTCACTTTGCTGATATCTGCCGCTGTAGCCTTGTACATCTCCACTTTGTTGGCGAGTGATGGGATTGACCTGGCTGTTCCAACAACAAAGTCGACGGCCTTTCTTGAGGGCTCAAATCCGGTATAGTGTTTTAAGCTATTTCCAAGATTGAAGAGCATCATGCCGGATCCTGATCCAATCTCAAGAACGTTTCTCAATTGCCCGCCGACTTTTTCGTGAATTGTATGGATCGTCTCGTTCAGCCACTCCTTCATTTCCGTCTTGTCGATATCTTTGCCATCGTACATTGAGGTCCATCCGATGAAATCTTGCCCAATGGTCTCAGACTGAACATTGGTGATTGGGGCGTAAATCTCCGTATTGAAGCGGTCTTCCCATGAGTTCACATGCTGTATTTGGTTACCATCGCTGTTTTGGTCGCTTGGTATTTCGGATCCTTCTTTGAGCGTGACATATCCAAACAATTTCTGGTCGTTCTCTTGTCGTTGTTCTGATACCACAACCGCGTCACGCACCAAGTTGTGCCCACGAAGAATGGTCTCGATTTCTCCTAGCTCAACACGGTTGCCCCGGATCTTGACTTGCCCATCGATTCGACCAAAGAATTTCATTTGTCCATCTATAGGTCGCTGGCGGACATAGTCGCCAGTACGATAGGCTCGCATTGTTTCGTTCCCAATCGTGACAGTTACGAAACGGTCAACATTGCGATTAGAATCAGTGTATCCTCTAGCAACACCATCTCCGGTAACAACAAGCTCTCCGACGACACCAAGTGGCACAAGGTTCTGTTCTGGATCCATCACGTATGCGCCCGAGTTGCTGATAGATTGTCCAATCGGCACACCATTGATACAGCCCTCATCCTCAGAGAGTATGTATAATGTGCTCATGACAGAATTCTCAGTAGGGCCGTATGCATTGACGACGATCTTGTTTCTCACAAGGTTGCGTGCCGTGAAAAAGTCGGCTATGTCGGCTCTGTCTCCTGCTACAAGTAGGGTGTCCAAGTGACCGACTGTATCTGGAGATTCCGCGAGAATGTAGTTGAGCAGAGCGGGCGTGATAAAAGCGATCCGGATTTTGAATTCTCTGAAGGCGCGTAAGAGGGCATCCTGGTCCAGTACGGTTGTAGCGTCGATGCAAGCCAGAGTTCCTCCGTTCAAAAGACAGGTGTAGATCTCCCAGGAAGAGCCATCGAAAGCAAGATTTGCCATGTGAGCCGTGGCTTCCGACGATTTGAAATGCTCCATCTGATCATGTTGTGCCAGGCGTACTAAGCCACGATGTTCGACCATAACTCCCTTTGGTTGACCAGTAGAGCCAGAAGTAAATAGAATGTAAGCGAGACTATTAGCACTAGGCTTGAGAGCAGGATTGAGCTCACTCCTCGTGAATTGCTCATTCTCGTCTGCATCCAAGATGTCGACGATGTGAGCAAAATCAACATCCTCCAGTTCAGCAGCAGGCAGTCGGATATTTGGGCCGACCAAGACGAGTTTTTGTCCTTCAATGGTCGAGAGGATGGATTCCATCCGCTCTTCAGGCGCTTTAGAATCGAATGGAAGATAAGCCAGCCCGGCCTTGAGAATACCAATGAAAGCAACAATTGCTTGGCAACATCGATGTGCCAGGACACCAATTGCCGTCTCGGGAGCAAATGACTTCATCGCTAGAAATTTTGCAAGTTTTTCTGATTGTGCGTCTAGCTGGGCGTAGGTCAACTCTGTCAATGCATCCTTGACAGCAATCCTGGAAGGTTGCATGGCGACTTGCTGGCGGAAAACGTCGACAATGCTCGAATCTCGGGAATATTCTGTTTGGTTCATGCGGAGGAGCCCCATCTGGTCGAGCTGAGTGTGTGCTTGGCTTGTCATGAGTGGCGCCACGGCGATCTGCATCTCTGGCTTGTCGAGACAGCTGTCGAGGATGCTCATGAAGACAGATGCTAGCGAACTTATAGTCTCGGGAGCAAAGAGCTCTTCTGAGAAGTAAATGTAGCCCTGCAGACTGTTTTGTTCCTGGAAGAAATGGAATTCGAGGTCGAAGCGCGAGGTAGCTAAGCCTTCTATGGCTTCTGTTTCGACCCCCTCGAAGGCAAGATTGCCTATGTCTTGTTGTGAGTGAACGGCGAATGCAACTTGGGCCAGAGGGTTGCGGGAAAGATCTCTGTCTCCTTCCAATGCAGAGACAATACTCTCAAAAGGTACATCCTGGTTGGCAAGCGAATCTACTACTGTTGCGTAGACCTGTCGCACTAGCTCTTCAAAGGTCTCATCCTGGATCTTGATTCGGATGCATTGGATATTGACGAAAAATCCGATCAAATCTCCAACTTCCCAGCGGCTTCGGTTCGCATTCGGGACTCCGATGTTTGCGTCATCCTGGTTGGTCAGGCGATAGTGTGCGGCCCTGAAAACAGCGAGGAGGACCACAAAGAGAGTCACTCCACGTTCCCTGGCAAAATTTTGCAGCCTTTCATAGAGCTGGTGGCTGATGTTGAGTTTCTGCGTGCCAGCTTTACCGGACAGAGTAGCTGGCCTGGGCTTATCGTAGAGGAACTCTGCTGGACGGCTTGCGTCTAACTGGTTGATCCAATAGTCGAGCTGCCGTTGGTGCTCTTGAACCTGGTTTGGCAATCGCTGCCAGACAGAGAAGTCGCGGTATTGAATGGGTAAGGGTGGTAAGTGAGAGTTTGGGTCTTCACCGCGGATGGCGGCAGCATACAGTTGGCTCAATTCTCTCTTCAAAACATCTACTGACCAGCCATCCGAGACGATGTGATGCATGATGATTGAAAGAACATGAGAGTGTTCTTTGATTCGATAGAGAGATACTCTCCATCCGGGCTCGGTTCGTAGGTCGAATGGTGTCTTCTGTTCCCGTTCCAGGGCCTCGAGCAAAACCTTGTCATCCTGTGAGCCGATGTCAATGATATTGAGTTCTTTTCCACTACAGAAAGGATGAACTTCCTGCAGGCCTTCGCCACTGCTGGTGGAAAAAGTTGTCCTTAGCGTTTCATGACGGCGCTCTATTGCCTGTAACGCAGCTTGAAGTGCAGGAAGTTGGAGTGGGCCTCTGATGCGCACTGCAAGGTGCATAAGATACCAATCTAACCCTGGATGCAATTCTTCCAAGAACCAAAGTCGGCGTTGCGCGAACGATTGAACGACAGGTCCGTGATGGTCGACTTTGGCGATTACACTCTCATTGGCAGTGGAAGAGTGGGCCAATCGATTGGCCAGTTGACCTAGTCGCTGCGCCTGGAAAATGTCTTGAACGGAAAGCTTTAGATCAACGTTGCGCGCCTCGCTCACAAGCTTCATAGCCGCAATCGAGTCGCCGCCGAGCTGGAAGAAGCTATCGTATAGCCCAATAGAAGTAGCATCTATACCTAGTACTTTGGCCCAGAGATGCTGCAATGTTTTCTCCTGTTCTGTTTCTGGTTGTAGTTTTGGGCCCTCGTCTTCCTGTGTGCGCAACTGGGCTAGTTGCTGGGCCGAAAACGAGCCTCCAATTTCGCGTAGTCGCTTTCTGTCAATCTTTCCAGAGGTGGATAATGGAAAGTCTGTCAGCGCAAAATAAACCCCAGGCACCATTTCTCTAGGTAGCCGTTGGGAGAGTTCGTCGTCCACTTGGGCTGGGAATACAACGTGGACCCGGGAGCCCTCACCCGATGTGTTCCCATTGAGAAGTACAGAATTTGCCTTCAGGAACGCTGCGACAATTGGCTTTCCTCCTGTTGGCGATATCAGTTCAACTGCCATCTCTTTGATTTCCGGGAGATGTTGATGGAGATGATGCTCGATCTCAGCAAGCTCTATGCGTTGGCCTCGCACTTTGACCTGGCCATCTTTGCGGCCTACATAGACTAAATCGCCGACACACCAACTTCGAGTTTTCTGGAAACCGCTAGGAAAGCACGCTATCTAGGAGAACCGACCACGAGGAATCGACTAACAGCACTTTTAACACCTGCAGCTAAGGCGCTAGCGCGCAGTAGGGAGAAGAAGGAGGCCTTCC